AGTGTGGGAGAAGATGAAGGAGAAGGTCCACTTCAGTCCTGTCATTCTGGACCCAAACACTGCAAGTGGGTGGGCTTATCTCGCTGATGATCTGACCAGTGTGAGGATTGGAGACACAAAGCAGCAGCTTCCTGATAATCCAGAGAGAAACACAAAGTATACCAGTGTTTTTGGCTCTGAGGGCTTCAGCTCAGGGAAACACAGCTGGGAGGTGGAGGTGGGAGACCATCCTTGGTGGAGTGTGGGTTTAGTTAAAGAGTCAGTTGACAGAAAGGGAGAGTGTTTTGTTTCACCAAAATACGGAATCTGGTGTTTATTGCATCGCAGTGGAGAATACACTAATGGTGATGGTCAGACTGTGACAGTGAAGAAGAGTCTCCAGAGGATCAGAGTCCAGCTGGACTATGACAGGGGGGAGGTGTCCTTCTATGACCCTGAAGACGCGACTCACATCTACACTCACAGAGACACTTTCACTGAGAAACTCTTCCCATATTTCTGTGTTGGAGAGGCAGATGTAAAAACCTCTGATATCAAAATCTGTCAGACTGAGATTTGATTGTAAAGTGTTTCTTTATTTTAACTTTTTTTGTTGTTGTTTTTTCAGTTTAGCAGCTTAGTCATAGGGAAATTATTAATCAAACTATCTAACGTCATTATCAGGTTTCATTTTATTTTGTTGATCTAGCAAAACTATCAGCAAATCAGTGAAACCAAAGCAACTTTTTCATGTGAAAATCTTGTGACCGACTCAAGTTTCTGTAAGAAACTTTTTCTTTTTATGTTTGTGTGATTAAAGAAATTATTTTACTGCTACTATTCATAACTATCATCATTGCCATTGCATTAATAACATAATCTACAGCATTGATATTGCATTCAGATGTTTAAACATATTGGTACCCAATTAGCCTTTATTACCGGTGCAGTTATAACCACTTTAAACTGTTGAGTTAAATCTATTATCTTAAATGCTTATATGCTGATTATACTGGGTTATAAAAGGAAGGCTCAACTCTGAGTACACTCTGTGCCAAAGTAGACAGGAAACTGCATGCTTTTGCAGAGCGTGCTTGCGAAAGTGAAACTAAGCAGAGTATGAGTGACGTGGAGCATAGAAGGCTAATCTTACAGTAAAATAGTAGCTGAGCAGAGGCCTGAGTGTATTTGGCAACGTGCTGCGTTTGAGTTTGCTTGGTAACAGATGACTCAGAATAAGACAGGAAGTATACTTCTGAAATGTCTTTGTTTCCTTTGTAAAGTGTGCATTTTTTGGTTGTTATTTTGAGGAGCTGTTGGGATGATGCTATTTGAATAACTAGGTTATTCATTATTATCTTTTATTCCTTTATATCTTTTATTAAGCTTTCAGTAGTGGCATTTAATTAAAGCATTTATTCAATATATACATATATAGTTTTAGTTAGATTGTTACACATATGAGAGTGGCCTCTGTCTGGTTGTGAGTTTTAGTAGGCGAGGTGAGAGGTGAAACAGAGTGCAATTGAGGTTGGGAGACACATACACACACACTGTAGGTAGACTTATATTCCAGGTAAGAGTTCAGACATATTTTGCTTGCAACTGCATTTTGTGCCTGCAGAATTGACAGTTTTGTTGCAGAGCATGCATCTGATGTTCCATAGATAAGTGAGAGTCAGAAGATGAACAGGAAGCACCTGGCTTGGAGACGAGAGAATGTTATTTTTAAATGTCTCACAAGTTGTCAACAGAACATTTGTGGTTTTGAAACTTATGCATGTGATGACGCAAGAGAGGGCGTCAAAAAACATTCCCTGATGTGTATTTTTGGGCGGAGATCAACACTGAGTGTGTGACAGTGTTCATCTCTCCACGCGTGTTTTCATTAAAATCATCGTTTGACCTAACCCTCCTGGACCAGTGTTGTGATTTTGAATCCCTCCTGTATCCCTCCTCAATATTTGAACCCTTAACATTTTGGGGGCTTGTCCGGTTATTGAGGAGGGAGAGTGAGTTTGGAAGTTCGGACGGAGAAATCCGGGGTCCAAGGACGGTCAAACGGGCAGACACAAGCCAGTGATCGAAGTGAGTGGGCATACGCCGGCTTATTCAAAGGTAAGGCACATACCTGTTGAATTATTTCCAAAGTGTGCCAAATTGGACATGGAAAATTAAAATCTACTCACTAAATTACTGGTAAAGGTCTGTCTTGATTTTGGTGAAGGTCTCATGAGAATTGAAAGTTGAAGTAATGATAATGAAACGTTGAAAGTGACAGCACTGAGTTAAAGAGATAAAGAAACGACAAGAGACAACAGAGAAATGTTTAAGAGAATATAGAGTAATAGGTAATTGGTGAAGTGTTTGTGACAGTAAAGTCTCAACTGAATATAAAGCCGGGCTTGGGCATCAATAAAATGGCAACCAGCCGGCAACTGAGGAGAACTGGGGGACGCTCCTAAATAGCTAGTGACCTGGTCACTTTTTACTGTCCGGGACAGTAGGTTGCGCTTTTTTGGCCAGCAGAAGTCGGACTTCGAGCGTGAAACCTTAACTTAAAACTTTGGGGAAAGCCTTGGCTGTGAAATGCCAAAAATAGAGCTTCAGGCAGAGTTTGGGTTGGTTGACGCTTTTAAATTGTGTTAGGGCATTAGAAATCGGGCCACGGTCCGGGACCGAGACTGGCTAATTGATTGCAAAAAACTCAGGGAGTTTATCGGTTGGACCGTTAATTTAAATTTGTCAAAATTGTGTAGGTGTTAAAAGGCCTGACAATCTGTGCAGTTGTAATTATAAGACGTCTGTGTGTGTGTGAAAAGGCAAATTAGGAAGCTGTGAACTGCTTAAACCACAGTTGGTTTCACAAGTACTGCTGCGAACATTGTTGAATGCGTGTGTTTGAGAAGCCGGTTATGTTTATTAGAGGGCTATAAATAAAGTTTTGAATTGTTGCAGTGGATTTATAGTAATTGACTGACTTTTGATATATATTGAGTGCACTGTACAGTACCTAAGACCAAAATATTCCTTTCAATAGTAACCTCTCTTCAGCAATAAATGCAGGTGTGTTTTATTTTTTCAATTTCTTGTGTGTGCTGTGAGAATGACTAGAGGTTTCAATCGTTTGTTTTTTTTTCTTTCACTTGCTCTTTCTGATTCTGAAGAGCAGGTCTGATAAAATACTCTCAGGAAAGCGTATTTTGAGGGATTCTAAGTGTGTGAATGTTGTGAGTACTGGGTTTGAATGATTCTGTGTGAGTCGTACTAAATAATAAATAAGTAATAATAACACTATGCGGGTAGCAGAGTGTGTGAACAGAGGAAGTTTGAGAGAAAAGGCAGTGTGTGTGAGACGATTATGAAAGTATTGCGTGAATGATGTTACAAAAACTGAGTTGAAAGAGATCTGCTGAGCACGCTGAAGACTGTGATGTGAATGCTGGCAAATGCAAAAAACTTTGTGTAAAATAAGGGTGCATTGTTTTTAGATTAAGACTTAGCAGAACTACAGAGGATTTGTAGACTGTAAATACAAAGAAAAAACAAGAGTTTGATTACCCTGAAGAAATAGGAAGGAGACAAACAGAAAAGATGGGTCTGAGTGGTTGTGTGTGTGACAGGAAGTGGTGTGTGTGACAGGAACTGCATGCCCATAAAAGGAGACTGACTGTGTCAAGTGTGGACCCAGAGAGAGAGATTAGTTAAACTCTAGGCAGATGAAGTGAATGAATGTTTTAACAAAAGAAATGAAAAGGATATTAATTAAATGCTTTAGTGTGTCAATACAGGTGGACTCTCCTCAACCTTGAAACGTGAGTACAGCGGCAAAAGCATAGATTAACAGAATTGGGAGGAAAGCAGGCCAGGCTTTGGCTAAAATTTTACAGCTTGACCTCTCACTTTGTCCCAATCCTGAGAAGAAGCTAAAGGACAGTTAATCTCCTGATGAGGACGGACAGAACATCGTGGACTTGAAGAGTTAACAGCAGGCAAAAGACAGTGCAACTGAACCATAACACCGATGACTCCAGCAGCAGCATGTAAGAAAGCACGTGATGCAACATGCACGGTGAACTGCAGGCTGGTAAGAACAGTGTGACATGACTGTTTGAAGGCACTGGATGTGATAATTTGCCATGCTGGGAGTTAACCTAGAAGAAAAGACTGAAAAGATCAACGGAGAAGAAACAGAGAAGAAGAAAACTTGGGACTGTGTTGCTGGAGATTTCAAGACAACACAGGACACTGTGAGAACAGGGACAGGGACCAGTCAGAGGTCAAGCCAGGACGAGTTCGACTGCGAGAGTACAGAATATAATTGGATTGAAATTGAAGCCTGAACTCATGAGGGTTTAGAAGATGTCCACCAGATCACAACAAAAAGGTAAACAAAAAGAAGGTAAAAATAAAGAGAGAAACTAACTAACAATTACATTAATAAATAGAAAACACACATACACAAATTGTTACATGTGAAATTATTTTTGGAGAGAATCAGAAGTGAGATAGGTTGAATCCAAAGCTCAGTGCAAAGACGCATGAATTAAACCTGATTATAAAACACATATGCAATGAAGAAGCAGCTTACACTCCATTAACATGACCACATAACATGAACGCAAGGAAGAATATGCTTACATTTATCAAGGTGAATACATGACAAAATTGGTATTTCTGGCCGGATAGATGGAAGTGGGTCGTTTAAGCACTCATGATAATAATGAAAATGTTTTAGTTTTGTTATTTTCAGGTGAAAGCAGACCTGGATCAATTTTCCACATGCAGCGGTCGGAAGAAATGTATAGGTAAACATCACTGTCGTCACTAATTCTGACATGAGAGCCCTAACTCCTGGCTGAAGACAAGGAATGCTGTTATTTAAGGTGGGAAATCAAAATTTGGGTTTACAAACCGAGGAAAGAAAACTGACTGCCTAAGTGGGAAAATTGTGAAAGAGTCTGAAACACTGCAAAAGAAACATATACAAAATCACACGCAAACAGAAAATGCATTAACCTTACGAAGAGAAGAGAGCTCATGAAGATTAATGCATAGACATTGATTAAACCTGGCAAAGAACACAAACATATGTAATGAAAATCAGCTTGGTACTTAATGAGTGTTACAATAGTGTGAATGTTTAAGGTAACACACTTAAAGCTTTAAGTTGAGGAATAGCTCAGGGAAGTTCCATGACAAGGGAGTGATTTATGGAAAAAGGAAAAAGCGATTACAGTAGTTTTTAGAAGAGTGAATTAGGAGTGCCCTTGTACTGATTGATCAAAACAAGTGATTACTATAGAAAGAAAATGAAAATAATTCAGTAATGTGGTAATGTTTAAACATGCATTTCTCTTCTCACAGCAACTTCTTGAGATATGACTCAGTATGCAAATTATTCGAATGGCTGGGGACAGAAAAAAGAGGTACTTAGGTTTTCTGTTTAACTGTGTGTGAAGCTTGTACTGGAGGAGACACTGTGTGGGTGTGCAAAACTGTGCAGCTTTTGACGAGATTTTCGGTGTATTGAAGAGGTGAAATTATGTCATTTGACCTGGGAGTGTCAGGACCCTGAAGAACCGGTGGCAAAACTTTTCTGTGTGGAGGATGTTTGAGGTTGTTGTTTTAGTGATGGGTTGATTTTGTCGGTTAGGTTTGGGTTGTCTTGTTTTTTTAATAGAAGGATTTTATTAAACATGGACATGTCTAAGGGGGCCCTTTAAAATTGTAACAGTGCACTTAGAGGAAACATGTCAGGTGATTTTGTTTTGTGCTTTGATGAGCTAATAATCAGCTCTCTTTTTTCTCATTTTTGTTCTAAGCAGGCCTGGAAGGGGAGTGAATTAACAGCGCTGTAAAATTTCCGGGAGAACAAATATAAGGTGACTTTCCGAGATTACAATGGGTTAAGGGAGAGGCTACCTGTGGGGACCTGATCAGGTCTAATCCCTGTCTAAAAGGATTGCAGCCAATCCAGTCCAAAAGCATAAAGAACTATTTTCTTAAAAAACAAAATAAAACAAATGAATGAGCTCATGTTGCTGAGGGTGGAGAATCTGATTATTTGCGCGGGAGTCTCCACCATCAGCAATACCTGGTGTGAATGCATGTGGATGAATGTGTGTAAATGGACGGTGACTGGACGGACGATGTGGACTAAAGGTTGGACCGACTGGACACTGAGATAAAGACTGGACTAAGGTTAAACACATGCCTGATAACTGTTCTGTTTTAAGTTTCTTTCTTATAACACAGATTGGATCATAAGTGAGGAAAACTGAGTATGAAATGTGAAGTTCAGGTTAACACACAGGTTTTGTTAAGTTCCAAGGATGCAGGCTGTTGATGGAGCCAGGAGTTCGAAAAGATCTGACATGATGATTAAATTGATTTCATTCCTTAAACACAGGTTTGTAGGGCCGGAGCAGATATACCGAAGAGTAGGATTGCTGAGGTGTTTTGAGAAATGATATGACTAACCTTTTTCTTTTAATTTCTTAAGCTCTGGTGAAGCATTTTGAGTTTGGCACATAAGATGTGTCAAAAAAAAGGGGGGATTTAAGGTTTAATTTGAAAGGGGTTTTAGGATCATTTTATGACTTTTGGTTTTTTTTGATAATTTAGATATGGTAAAACTGAGGCAGAAATTGTTATTTTCATGTTTAAGTTAAAGGATTAAAATGAACTGAATACTGTTTAGAAGATAAAATGCCGGTGTTCATAAGAAGCTGTATACCAAACTTAAAGGGAAATTGCGGGACACTGAATAAAAGATATGCTTTGGGGAAAACTAGCGAAGAGTTTAGGAGTAGAAAATGTTTGATTTATTTTTGATTTCTAGAATTAGTGGTTATAAAGCAGGCTTACACATACAGATATTATATAGATTTATTTCTAGGGTAGAGGAGAGAGCTTCTTAAGAGGGTGTTAAAAATGTTGCTGACCCAAATGAATAATATTGAAGATTATTTACATAGAAATGATTTTTTTTTACACATTGCGATTGTGCTCATAAAAGAGTTGATGCCCATCTATTCAAGGTTTTAAACTTCGCTGAGCGCTATGTCTCAGTTGATATATTGAGGTTGACTTACAGCATAGAAGGCCGCACACGCTTACAAACACATAGAATCCATAAACCTGACAGGCCAAAGGCCTGAAATTCATTTAGCTTCTAACTGAATTTGAGCTTGCCTAGTAACAAGTGACAGAAAGAGGAATGTCTCTGTGTGTTTTTATGGTTAGATGGTGATGGTTTATATCTTACCCTGGGTGTGTTTAATAAAACTAAAAGTGTTGCTCACACACATAAAGAGCATTGAGATTAAGTACAGTTAATATAAAGGACAGAGCCCAGAACATGATATGGTGAAACAACTTTGAATGATTAAAGGAACATTAGATGAACACAGTAGATTAGTGAGGTGTAGCAGAGAGAGGCTGTTTGTTTTCTATCCTTTAC